GACTAACCACATCTTGTGTTCCGGAGCAAATCTGGAATTTTAACACTTGAGAGTGGGAAAAAACTCGGAGCACGTATTCACTTACTAAACTCAAAACCTAATATTGTGATGCAGAAATTAGAAAGCAATAAATAATTGCAAAAGGTCAGCCATCAACCCAGTGTAGACCAGAACACCACACTTCTAATGCTGTGAACCCAGTACAAGGAATCGCTTGAATATTCACTGACTAGCATGGTACGTGGCTGTCTCACTCTCACCCTGTTGCTGTAACATGAATTTGGTTTTACATCTAGTTGATAAAAGCTTTCACTTCAGTCTGCTGTAAAAATTGTATTCCTAGGATTCTGTTCCAGGAAAAAAAATCCTTCAGTTTCTGACACACCAACAAAAAAGACTTCACTCCTAAACAAAGCCTGGGGATGTGAAAGCGGATTCAGCAACATCTTGACTGCGCTTCTTACGATTGGCTGTAAACAAAATTTCGCCCCTGAATTACTTTTGAGGGCCCTTTGTGTTTTGCTTCTGTTGTTCAATCGAAGTCCTGCAACAACATCTTAAATATAATGACCTCTCCTGCACTCAAGAGTGACTCTTGCCAGGTCAAGCAGTTGTCTCTTTTCTAATATGTAGCTGAATCATGGCCCTGAGATCGTTGGGATGATTAAGTCTACGTGTGATGTGTTCTGCCTTCTCTCTCGGACTGATCTGAACCAAACGTCCCCTGTTCTCTTCCCCCTAAACGCTCCTCGAACGAAGCCGGACCCTCGCGCACACACACTTCCTTTTGCTATTAACACACGCACGCACGCACACACACTCACAGTGGACCGCCTACTTTCATCTGTTCCTCCGCCCACGCGAAACTGTCTCGTCTCTACGGGCCAGCTGGGAGTCAGCAGCAGGCAAGGCGGGGTGCTTTGGGGTTGGGGTGATGTGGGGGTGGGAATAAGGCCATGCTTCACTTCCGATGAAAACTGAATGCTTCTATTTCTATTGACTGGAATAATGTCTGGCTTCGTTGTTGAGGAAAAGAGCAGGATGTTTGTAGCTGTGTTTCTTGGAAAATACAAATAACATCTTAAACTACCGACATAGATGAGTCGACAATCAATTTCTTAAAATGTCACCTCAGATCAGAAAACTTGTAGTACTTTAAATCAAAAGAGTTGCAGTGTTTTGTTTGACAGCTGATCCTTGGTGCCTGATAGAGTGTGGACTCTGTGTCACGGCGGTAATGTAATCACCATTAAACCTTGGTACCATTACTATGTGTGTGCTGGTGTCATATAATCGAGTATAAACAGCTGGGCTGTCCCTTACATCAAGTCATCTACACTGCACTAACATGAGCCCCCTCTCAGTCCCTCTCAGCCCGGGCCGTCTCTCACTGTTCTCTCTCATTTTACCTTCTCATTTCTCTGCAAATCAATCCCCTTTGTTATTTTGAACCCCATACCCCCACTCCCCCTCTTCACCATCTACCTCCCAACACTCCGTACGCCATCTCTGTCTTTTCAATGTTGTTGGTGTGTTTTTTACTCAGACCGACATGTCAGACAGCTCTCTCCACCCACCTTCATCAAAACACCACATGAGGGAAAAATTTTTGGAAAGAATGGTGTCCGTCCAGCCGGTACACTCCTGCTGTCCGTTGGAAATATTATTCAAGGAGTGCTGAAGCTTTTTCAGTTGCCTCTAGTGGGAAACAAACACTATTTCTCAGACACTTTATAATGTTTGTTCCGCTACTTTCTCTTCCATCTGTGTGTCATGTCAGTATTTACATACCTGTGAGTGAAAGCAGCTGAAAAATGAAGCCAACACCAGAGTTGCCAACAACTACAGTTCCTCAAATGGCCACTAGAGTTCTGTGAGTCAATCTCCATAGACTCCCATGTATAAAATACCCAACTTCACATGTTTACAGCCTGGTACATAAACAGTTTTTGTCTCTATAGCTAATTTCTCTCCTTCGTGACGACTGTACGGGGTGAATTTTTATATAACTCACTTTTTTAGACTTAAAGTTATGCATAATGGAGGGGCCGTGGCTGCTGTGAGTGACATGCGGGTGAGTGTATGCTTGCCACCAAACCAGCATGAACCGAAGTCTCGGCTCCACACACGCCCCACCTCTTTTGCCCATTTTTTGGATTAGCCAGGAGAGGAGTCAGTACTGCCAAGAAGGTGATGGCATAGCAGCATACTCTGAGCTTCAAAACTGATCATCAGAAGCCTATGGGTGACTTCACAGAGGCTACGTCCACCTTTATTATACAGTCTATGGTGAAGACACACAGAGGTGGAAACATGCAGCACCTTTTGGTTTGCCTGACGATGATGATGACAAATTGTAAAAATCAGTACGTGCGACTGAGGAGATGCACTAAATTTTCATATGTACAACTGTGCAAATAAAGGCATCATCTTCATTCTTCTATTCTTATTGTAACTAAACTGGCCTCGAGTTCCTTCTGTTATGTATAATGTTATATCAGCTCTGTTATTTTCATAAATAACAACTATTTTTTTTATTTTCTATGACTCAGTTATGACACAGTTGTGCATTCACCTCAGTAAAATACCTGCAGACGCACTGTTGTCAGCGATGACGGCAACTGAAATCAATGGTGTCTCTTGCTCTGTCTGTACAACTAACTCATATATATATCTCTCTTGCTTTATTTCTTTGCGCTATAAACGCCCCAGGAATATCCTTCAACGTTGTATATACCTGCTCATTTCATATCATGAAACTTCCAACTTCCTTTTCTATCATGTACTGTTGCATGTACTCATCAGCGTAGCAGACTTCACACAGTGTGCAACCAGCGTCATTCATGGCTTATCTTTAAACTAGTTTACTCAGCACAATATGTAGAAACTATAGATAGATATAGACAGGAGAGGGCTGTGTTTTGTGTGGCCATAGTCTAATTTATTACATTTGGGACTGTTATCTAGTTTATTTAGGTGAATAAGGTTATTTTAATATGTACTTAAAGAAATATAGACCAGTCTGATATACATTAAAGATAATCTAAATGTTAGCTTAGCTTAGCATGAAGACTGGAAACAGGAGCAAACAGCTAGATTTCCATTATTCTTTTATTATTATTATTATTCATTTGATCTAAACATTTTTGTGAAATGTTTTATTTTTTGCACTTGTGTCTACAAAAATATTCTATCACCAGTGACCAGAAGATGCCCATATACTTAACTTTTCATAATTTAAAAAGTTTTTTCGATGTGACCTATGATTTGACTATTCACTTTTCTAATGGTTTAAGTTTTAATTTTAAAAGGCTTTGGATAAAACTGTTGTACACACTGTTTGCATCGCCTACCTTCTTTACACTCCAGGGGCCACTCTGGACTCCAGGTTGTCCATCTGGAGCTGAAGGCGTTTCAAGGTGCGGTCAGCGTCCCTCGACTTTCCTCTTGTAGGCTATCAGCACAGCGATGATGACCAACAGAAGCAGACCACCACCCCCTCCAATGCCGATGATGGCTGGAAGCGTCAGCAGGCTGTCTGAGTAGTGTGAAGAGTCCCAGGGGATAACTCAAACCCCCCAGCACGGATCTGAACACACAAACACAAACTGTATGCTTTAATGATCGAGAGAGAAAAGACAGAACTTCTGTAACTCCTTCTTTATTCATACAGTTACACAGTTATTCACCAGAGAGCGCAATGCCAGACTTCTGCTGGCGGCTGCTGAGCAGCTGCGTTATCAGAGCTGAAGGTTCATTGCATTGCTCAAAAGCAGCTCCACCCGCAGTCGTTAAGGGAGAGGAAATTACTACTATATTTATTTCCC